AGAATTTTCTGCAGATTCTGAGGACAAATGCATATCTTTTCATCTTTCTATCTAGCTCTTGGGCCTATTATTAACTTTCTGAGTCTCACAGTCTTTTAAGTTGCTGATTCCTGAAGGGGCATGTCCTGCTTCTTGGTATGGGTAAAGGGGTGGGAAGAAGAGAGAAAAAGAGAGAAAAAGCCTCTCAAGGTATGAATCAGAGGGAGGAAAGGAATAGAAATACAAAGAAAGAAGGGCAAGTTAATCCTTAGGAATGCTGAAGCGAAATGGAGTGCATAGTTCTGGAAGACACTAATGCTGATGAAGGAATATTGTTTCCTCCCGTTCTAGTATCTTTCCCTCTACCTCTCTTTTCTTACATAAAACCATAGGAGGAGGCACAAGTGAAGTACAGTTTTGGGGTGTTTGCTTGGCACCTGTGCAGGTGTGTGTGTGTGTTTAATTGGGATTTCTTTAAAAAAAAAATATTGCTCTGTCACTCAGGCTGGAGTGTAGTGGCACAATTGCGGCTTACTGTAGCCTCAACCTCCCAAGCCCAAGCGATTCTCCTATTCCAGCCTCCTGAGTAGCAAGAGCACACTACTGTACCCAGCTATATTTTAAATTTTTTGTGGAAGCAGTCTTACCACTTTTCTCGGGCCTGGTCTCAAACTCCTGGGCTTAAGCAATCCTCCCGCCTTGACGACTCAAAGTACTGGGAATTACAGGCATGAACCACTGCATCCAACCTAAAATTAGGATTTCTTTTTAGTTATAAATAGTATTGAAGAGAGGCTTATGAGTTTTTAAATGTGGTTCTCAGGTAATGTGGATTGCTGTTTGGCCTTCTGGTATGTTCCCTTGAGTGGCTAATTCTTATATTTTTAGTCATCCCCCCTTTGACATAGAGACAGCACGTGACTATGGCATTGAGCAAAGGTTTTTAAAAATAAATTTTAGCAGTTGATTCCCTTTCTCCAAATGCAATCTGTTGACTAGGTGCAGTAACTCATGCCTGTAATCCCAGCACTTTGGAAGGCTGAGGCAGGCAGATCATTTGAGGTCAGGAGTTCGAGACCAGCCTGGCCAACATGATGAAACCCAATCTCTACTAAAAATACAAAAATTAGCCGGTCATGGCAGTGCCTGCCCATAATCCAAGCTACTCAGGAGGCTGAGGCAGGAGAATTGCTTGAACCTGGGAGGCGGAGGTTGCAGTGAGCCAAGATCCTGCCACTGCACTCCAGCCTGGGTGACAGAGTGAGACTCGTCTCAAAAAAAAGAAAAGAAAAAAATGCAATCTGTTGCAGAATCCCCAAATGTAACATGGGTGAAAGCAAATCTGTTGAAACAGACGCTGGAGGTCATATCTGCGCCCTCTGCCTCTCCCTCTCTCTTCTCCACACTTGCCTCTGAAGCAACATTGAAAAGCTGAGGCTGGGGGCTCCACTCTTCTATACTTAGGAGACTGGGGTCCTGGACAAACCTGGAGAAACCTGTACTCGAGGACTGAACCTCACTCTGCACTTCAGCACAGGCTGTCAACACAGCTCAGGGGACCAGAACCAAACCTTCCTCAAACTATACTCAGATTCATGACTGCAAAAAGGGCTTTCTGTCAGAGGCTGCTAATAGAGGCAGTACTACAAGCAATAATTAACTTGCTTCTCCCAATTACTTTACCATAAATGTCTGGACTTTGTTCAAGTTTATGTTCTTTTTAAGATCACTAAGAATAAAATATTGTGTTGTGAACATAATTAAGATTTTATAAACCCAAAGACTGTGGAATTATGCTGCGGTTTATCTCTTTATGGAGTAATTATACCAATTATAGGAGACGATTTTAATGGGAAATGTTACCCATTTGGCAGACGCTATTGGTTTAAAATGAAGTGATTAAAAGCAATTTATGAATCTCTCTTGGGTAAAAGAATGAAAACACTATAAAATAATTGGATTCTGATTCATGAATTGTATAGAACTTTCTCAGATGCTATAGTTAAGGCAAAATTACAGGGAACTCTAACAAAAGTTTGATAGAATGTTATGATGTGTCTTTCCCACTGCTAAGATTACATCATTAAACCCTAATTAATGTTTTATGTTAGGGCTTTCTTAGCCATTTTGCTTATTTCACTTTTCCACTTACAATAACCACACTGCACCTTTTATATACAGAATTCCCATCGATTTCCTAAAGATGAGTTCCCATTATGCTTATATTGAGGAATATAAGTTATTATCTAGTTCTCATAATTAGCATTTAGCAACAAACTAAGACCTTATTCTTAAGTGGTCCATTTTCGTCTGTGGTAGTAAAAGCATTCTAGGCTATTTTTATGAGAGGGGGGAAAAACCCTAAACAACAGTGTTACAGAAGCATAGCTCTTTTTTGAGATTGTTGCTTTAAAAATTGAAGCAAAACAAAATGCTTTTTCTAACCATACAGGCATACCTAAAATTAGAGACTGTCAGAGCACAGGAAGGAAATCATAAATAGTCAAACACTGGAACCCAAGTGTGAGATACGGAAGTCAATAAACGTTACTGTTTTCTTTCTGTTCACATCCTGCCTGAGAATTTTATTAGAGGAGAGTAAGAGAGAAAGAATACAATAGTAAAATAAAGGGAAAGCATTTTTATTTCTAAACTGCACAGTAATTCATGAAAACACATTTTAAAAAAATCAAAGTAATACCAGTGTAAATGGAGTGAAAAGTGACAGTTCCTATTCACCCCCCTTTTTCCCATTCCTTACCTCATCATCAAAGGTAATGAAAATATGATATTGTCCTTTGACATACTATTTTTCACCTAACAATATGTCTCAGAAATCTTCACATGTCATTATATGTAGCTTTACCTTATTCTTTTAAACAATTGCCTAATAATCTATAGAATAAATTTAGACAACCTATTTACCTAATTTATTAATGTATATTTAGGTTATTTCCAATTTTTTACTAGTACACCTATTGCTTTAATATTCTTCTTGCACATATGTTTATACACATGTAAGAATTTTGTGTGTTAGGTTGTGGGGGACAGATATCTAAATGTGGAATTGCTGGGTCAAGAGAAAGAATAACATTTACATTTTGCAGCCAGGTGAGGTGGTGTGCTCCCCTGATCCCAGCTATGTGGGAGGCTGAAGTGGGAGGATTGCTTGAGCCCAGGAGTCCAAGACCAGGTTGGGCAACATACCAAGACCCTGTCTCAAAAAACAAAATTAGATTTCGGTAAATATTACCAATTATTTTTTTAAAAAGACTTTCCCAATATTATCTGTATGTAAAATGTTTGCCAACCTGATGGGTATCTTGTTTGCATTTTTTTTTCATGAGGTTGAATATTTTATTTGTTTGTTGCTCTTTTGTGTTTCTTATTTTTTGGTTCACCTTTGTTATTTTCTTTGGTCATTTTTCTACTGAGTTGTTGGTTATAGTCTTAGTCATTTCCAGGAGTGCTTTATATAAATCTTTTCGGTTACATGTTCTAAATATGCTTTCCCAGTCTGTGTGTTTTTTTATCCTCATGTTTTTTTTTTTTTTTTTGCCAAATGAAAGTTTTAAAGTCGTATGTAGTTGATCTGTTGCCATTTTTCTTTTTTTTCACTATGAAGGAAATTTTTCTTTTTATTTTATTTATGTATTTATCCAGACTGGGTATCATATTTAGTGTCAAAAGACAAAATTAAAACAAATTTAGTTTAAAGATCTTAATTGGGGCTGGGCACAGTGGTTCACACCTGTAATCCCAGCACTTTGGGAGGCCGAGGCAGGTGGATCACCTGAGGTTGAGAGTTCAAGACCAGCCTGGCCAACATGCTGATACCCATCTCTATTAAAATATAAAAATTAGCCAGCCATGGTGGCCCACACTTGTAATCCTAGCTACTCAGGAGGCTGAGGCAGGAGAATCGCTTGAATCTGAGAGGCAAAGGTTTCTGTGAGCCAAGATGGTGCCATTGCACTTCAACCTGGGCGACAGAGTGAGACTCCACCTAAAAATATATATATATATATATCTTAATTGAGGCCAGGCATGGTGGTTTATGCCTATAATTCCAAAACTTTGGGAGGCTGAAGTGGGAGGATTGCTTGAGCTTGGGAGTTCAAGACCAGCCTGGGCAATATAGTGAGACCCCATCTCTATTAAAAAAAAATAAATTTAAAAATATTTTTAAAAAATTAAATTAGCTTTTATTTGCGATTCTAAAATTAGACAACACCTCATATTATAAAACAGAATGAGTGTTGTGATGAGCTAAGCAGAGGAGGTTGATGTTATAAACAGAAGTTCCTTTTCTTGTAAAGGTTAAAGCAGAAGGAACTTTCTTATCGTGCTGGCAAAAACTGGCCTGTTCAGGGATTTGGCTGTTATCTCTGCGTCCTGATTTGTTGAAAGGTTAGATAAAGATCCTAGTTTCAGCTGGTTGGTGTGAGACTTTAGCATGCCTTACTCCACTTTGGTTTTGTCTGTTGGGCCTAGTGCAGGGGCTCAGTCCAAACCAATGATCTATTATACATCCTATTTAACATTAGCAAATATATATTTATGCTAGAATATGTAGTGGTATCATATAGTCTGAATGTTGTCCCCACCAAATCTCATATTGAATTGTAATCCCCAGTACTGGAGGTAGTGCTAGGCACTAGGTGAGTGGATCACGGGCAGATCTCTCAGGAATGACTTAGCACCATCTCCTTGGTAGTAAGTGAGTTCTCAAGAAAGCTGGTTGTTTAAAAGTGTGTGGCCCCTTTCCCTTCTCTCTGTCTTGCTTCTGCTCTCCCTGCATGAGATGCCTGCTCCTGCTTCACCTTCCACCATGAGTGTAAGCAGCCCAAATCTTCACCAGAGGCACAGCAGCTACCAGCGCCATGCTTCATGTACAGTCTGCAGAACTGTGAGCCAGGTAAACCTCCTTTCTTTGTAAATTACCCAGCCTCAGGTATTTCTTTCTTTTTTCTTTTTAAAAACATTTGTTTTTTCAACTTCATGGAAAAGAGGTTTTTCATTTTTCCAAAAACTGTACCAAGGTAAAGCAAAGTTCCAGTTGACGCAGGTGCGATGTATACGCATTAGCAGTACTACCCTTGCTATGCACTCATTAGACAGCAGTGCGACCCCAAGGAAAGGATGGTTGGGTATTTCTTTATAGCAATGCAAGAACAGCCTAACACATGGTGGTATTAAGCAACGAGCATTAGAACAGCAGCCATTAGAAGACACAGATCAGATTAGAATCTACCTTTCTGGCTGGATGCGGTAGCTCACACCTGTAATCCCAGCACTTTGGGAGGCTGAGGCGGGTGGATCACCTAAGATAAGGAGTTCGAGAGCAGTCTGGCCAACATGGTAAAACCCTGTCTTTACTAAAAATACAAAAAGTTAGCTGGGCATGATGGCACATGCCTGTAATCCCTGCTACTCAGGAGGCTGAGGCAGGAGAATCGCTTGAACCTGGGAGGTGGATGTTGCAGTGAACCAAGATTGCACCACTGTACTCCAGCCTGGGTTACAAAGCAAAACTCCATCTCAAAAAAATGAATGAATAAGTAAAAAGAATCCACCTTTCTCAGATCCTGGCTATGTGGTTTCCAGCAAACCCTTAACCAAGAGGATTCAGTTTCTTTTTCCTTAAACAAGATCCTATTAATACCTTCCTCTGGCCATTCATTGAGAAGATTAAATAACATTTGAAAACACTGGCAGGCTGGTCACGGTGGCTCACACCTGTAATCCCAGCACTATGGGAAGCTGAGCCCAGCAGATCACTTGAGCCCAGTACTTTGAGACCAGCCTGGGCAACATAGCAAAACTCAATTTTTACAAAAAGTTAGCCGGGTGTGGTGGTATATGCCTATAGTTCCAGCTACTCAGGAGGCTGAGGTGGGTGGACTGCTTCAGTCTGGAAGGCAGCACTTTCAGTGGGCTGAGATTGGGCCACTACACTCCAGCCTGGGCAACAGAGCAAGACCCTATGTCCAAA